ATGGTAAGACATGTTTTTTTTAACTGATCTGTTGGAAAGCATTTTTTTTATTGTGAGCCTGCAAAGCACAAACGCCGGCTTTGTCTCATCTGCAGATTTTTGTCACAACACTCAAGTCAGAAACCTCCGCCTAGCAATTGTTGCTATTGATCAGTAAATCCCTGCATCCCCCTTTTTGCAGATATGTTCTAATCATTTTGTGGCGTGGGGTCGTAAAAATCTAAATTATTGCCCCTTCCACATACACAGTTGAAATTATATGAATACCTCAAGGCCATTTTGCCATTTTGCTGCATCATGCCTCTGCATGATAAGGCGGTAATGTGCCTCACAAATTTTGCAAGCGCCTGAGCTGCACTGCAATCTACAAATATGCCGTACGTAGTTTACGGTAGATGCTACCTCCAGTGTGATTAATCCCCCCTCTGAAAATGCCATTATACCTGCACATCCCCCCAGTAGAAAAACATTAAGGATTCAGATGCTGAAGAAATATATCACTCATGTATATGGAATAACAGCACACTGGCTGTAATTTTCATCAGGATTTTCTTGTAATGATGGAGTGTTAATTAGTGCTTGTTCCCTGTATAGCAGCAGCCATTGTAATTTCTTTTCTGACAATTAGTCAGTCATGCTTTTACATTGTGCTAATGATATAGAATTTTCCAGTCCAATCCATGCCAGATATCCTGCTGGCGGCCATCAATTATGTATGGCACCAAGTCCAAACCAGCGAGCAAGGGGATGCAAACAAAATAAAGGGTGGAGACTGTTTTGTTTTAGGTCACAGTTCTGATCCTCACAGAACAATGTTTCAGCTGATTTCAGTCTGTTTCAGTCGGTGAGACAGTGACCTGACTGGCGCTGTGCTCTGAACCAGCCCCGCGAGCAGCTGCCCAAACAAGTTAACTAAGAAGATGTTGCCGACAGTCAAACAGAAACTACAGCCCCCCTATGCTGTGCATGAAAATATGGAAATGAATCAGTTCCTTTAGCAAAGATAGCATCCTTCCACTACTGCACACACACACACACGCACACACACACACAGAGATATGCAGACAAACACATAAGAGGCCAGTAGAGCCCCTTCCTCTCCTTCCTCTCTTCAGTCTGAGGTGTTTATGAGATGGAGGGTGGGCGTTGCTTCCTGAGACTTAAACTAACGGCTTCTTTGTGTGTACAGAAGAATATGCATGTGTGTTTGTGCTTTTGTGTTAGAGATTTAAAAGGACCTAATTTTCCAATAAAGACAGAAACTTCGAACAGTTTTATGATGGGTCACGTTTGTTTAGATTATATTTAGATATTACATCAAACTAGGTTAAATCAGATTAAGAGTGGATTAGGTTGGGTCAAGTTAAGTTAGGTTAGGGTAGAGTTAAACTAGGGTTATTTTTACTTTAGTATCTAATTCTAGAGACTGAAAACAACGTGACAAAGTGAGAGAGGTCACCGGTAGTGATGAACCAACAAAGAATTATCACCTGAATCTGCAGCTCAACTTGGTTTTATGGAGCTTAATAGTGAGTTTTAGCTAGCTATAAAACTTAACTGTTTTGGTTCTCTCTCACCACTTTCATACCGTCGTTTTTGTCCACAGCAGTCAGCTGTTTACCACCTGCTCAGCGTCAAACATAGTGAACATGAACTTAGTGGAGCATTTAGCAGCTAAAGAGTCGGATATTTTTCTCAGGAGTTGGTGGAGACCAAAAACGGAGCTAAAAGAGAGGGAATGTTGGACCGCAGATTCATCAGATGAACAGTGATCGTGTTACACCCATTACTAATCAATGTGTAAATAAGTAAGTGTTTGCTAGCATGTTCACCTTATCAACTTAAAAGGTGATGATACGTATGTTATGTTTCCACTTCCCTAAGCAGCTAAATGAGATAAGCTATTACAGGTTTAAGAAATATTTAAATAGTTAAAATAAATAAATAAATAAATGCAACAAATGTGGGTTTATTTGGAACAGTCAGAAATAATGTTTATGTATTGACTCCCACTCATTCTGTGAAATTAGCATGGCTGCATGCTGATACTTGTACAGATACACAACATGTTCCTCTTGTCTGATGAGACACCCTCGGTGTGTTTACACTCACAAAAATAGGTTGTTTACCTGGGATTTCTAGATCAAGTGTGTGATTCTAATCAATTCACAGAGGACCTTAAAATAACCAATATTCCTGATGCTGTTAGTTGCAAAGTCATTTTGCAAATGCCCCACCAAAAAAGTCCTTTCCTCACATCCCACAGCTCCAGCCACGCCACTCATTTTTCAGACACACTGCTTTGAGATTCGCCTCCCTCCCATGACATTTAGCAGTTTGCACACACAATCAAAACAAAGAAAGAAAGCAGACTACAGCCATAGTCATTTAAAAGAGTCATCCAACCCTATTATTAGACTATTAGTAAAATAACCCAGTTAAGGTGACAGTTGCAATAATCAGACGTATCATGTTTGCACTGATTGTAATCAAATTGCTTGTAAACACGCCGAACTCCCTCCTTCTACCAGGAACAGGAAGCTGTCAAATATATTGATTTACAAAAAAATAGAGTGCAATGTCATCTGCCAACTGTTATACTATTTAAGCAGCAGACACCTGCTTAGAAAACAGACATGAGCACTGGGGGTAAGGTCAAGGTTAATTTAAGATTAGGTGCAGAATTGGGATTAGATTAAGGTTGAATATATAATGGGGGTCATTAAGGTGAAGGTGAGCAAATGGGAAATTAATGTGCTCCGGGAAGATTCTTTGTGTGTATTTGTGTATGCGTGTGCTCCGGGCCAGGGAGGAGTCAGGGAGCTATATATAGCTATCACTCTGTTATTTCTGCTCATGACAGTTATAGCCGAAATGATGGTGGGAGGGGAGCTTTGTGGCGGCGGTGGGAGTGGTGGAGGAGGAGGGGTGCTGGTGCTGGTGCGGGAAGCCGGGAGATGTAGTGCGCGGCGTGTTCAGCTTGACAGTTGATTAGTCTCCATTAGTTTGTCAGGCTGACTGGACTGGATGGATGAAGGAGCCAGGGAATGTGGGTGTCTGCAGGCCAGGCAGGCTTTTCCATCCTCCCTTGACGGGACCTGACATGAAGGCGGGGCTGGGGGGGGGGGGCAGGGGGTACATGCCGGTTGCCTTCCTTTTGTTGAACTGTGTGTTAGTGTGCGTGTGTTTGGCTTGTGGCCACATTATTATCTTAAAGTATATTCTGTAATGATGAGGGTTGGTACTTACTGTAATTATTTTCCTCTTGCTCTGTCTCTCTGTCACTGTCAGTACGCCTCTCTGTTGTTCATCTGTGTGTATGTGTGTGTGCGTGTGTGTGTGTGTGCGCGCGTTTGTATGCGCGCTTGCAAACTGTATGTATGTGCCTGCCAGTTCCCCATAAGAGGACATGAAGTTTGAGAAATCAGTTTTTAAGTAAAGCCCCAGTGGCGG